GTCCTTATCTGTTTGTTATGCTTGGCTTTCAGCCACCGAGGGTTTGGTTTCTTGCTAATAAAGTACATTCCAGTTAAGCTTGTCTCGGCATTCGTTACTGGACAGAGGAAGGGGTCAGAACACCTTCCCTATACTATTTCAGACAGAGGACTGTCTAATCTCTTCTTAAAAACCTCCATGTCTGGAGACAAGTCGCTCCACTAATTAACTGTTGTCACTGTCAGGAAATTTCTCCTTAGTTTTACGTTGCCTCTCTCTCTCTCTTTAAGACATCTCCCTGTCTTAATGCATATTAGTACATGACATCAACCAGTGCATTTAATCTTTAGCATGACATGTTGATAACACTGTTGAGGTTCTCCCATCCCCCACATTTGCCCCAGTGAAGGAATTCCAAAGCCTTTCTGAAAGAAAGGGCCCTTTCTTTCGTACTGCCACACGTAATTTGATTCAAAGGCACAAATTGTTAGCGCGTTAAATAATTTGAGGTTAGAAGAGGTCAGTTCCCAAAGACTGTACAAGAATCAAAGGTTACTGAAATATTTATGGATGGCATTGCTGCAATTGCTTTCGGGAAATGCACTGAAATTCTGTCCTAACTAGGCCGTTTTATGATCTTTACTAAGGATAGTATATCTAGTTCATGCACATCCTTTGTGTCGGATGTAAAAAGAGTGTCTCATATGAACTATGTCTCTAGGGGAATATAGCTCTAATAATGCAGCAGGATTTGGGAGAAAAGGGAAAATACATTAATGAGGGGAGGGGGGGAAGTGCAATAAGTTGCTTAGAAAATATAGCTAGACTTCTTCCTTCCATAAAACACTTTTAATTTGAACATGTGTTTGCTTTCTTTCAGATGTCCCCTGCTACTAGGGCCAGGCCAAAACAAATGAAGCAGACTTCCCTTTGGAGATCAATTTATTCAGTCAATGTATTGAGATTTATTGAATGGCGGGATTATGTTCCAAGCAAGGAACTGAAGCCTTTTGTTTAGGAGGCATTTTCAACCTTGTGTATAAGCACATACATAGTCCAATCCAGTGCGGAGAAGGATAGAATGTACATTATTAGAAATATTTTTCCCCCCATCTCTGACTCCCAAGTTGGTCACCAGGAGGCGCCTGAACCTTGGACCAGTGGGGAGGAGACAAGGGAGTGTGTTCCTGACGTCAGCAGTGAGTTGTTCCTGGATGCCCAGCACCGAAGAGCTAGGAACAGTTAGGAACAGTTGCGCAGTTACAGGAGGTAATTGCACTCAGATGGTGGTCATTAGGCTCCTCTCCAGACTATAAAAAGACAGCTTGTGCACACACCCTTTTGCAGAAATCAATGCAGGAACGAATTTTGGAGAACAGTCTTGTGAGCCTGGCAGGCTGGATTGCTGCCATGGCTTATCTGTGCCGGTTTGATGCCAAGGAACTGTCTGTCTGTTAATAAATTCCGTAAAATATCTTTGACTTGGAGTGTGTTGGTGTGGGACGAGGGGGGGGGGTCAGAACACTTAGTAATAGTAGCCGTACAACACATGGTATTCCTATTGATTTATAAGCTCACAAACAGTTTGTAGATATTTCAATAGAGCTCAATCTAATCCTTGGATATTTTACTTTTAGTTCTTTTGCCTGTATTTATTTAGCTACTGTTTTGGGACTGGCATTCTCCAGTGGGGAATGCCAACACATAAAGGTTTTTCTTTTCTTGATGCCCAATTTTATTCTGGATTTTCTTGAGCAACCATGAAATATTTGAATGGAAAGCTTTTTCACTCGCCCAGCCTTTCCATGATTTTTCTGATTACCTCATGATTTTTCATGATTACCTCAGTGCTCATGATTTTTACCNATGTAGATGAGGCACGTGGTTCTCTTGCCTCCTCCTGCCGCAAAAGAAAGAAAATGGCTTTTGCTGCCCCGTCGCTATGTCCGACTCCAACTTAGAGGCGGGACGCCTCTATGTCGGACAAAAGCCGCTTTCTTTCTTTTTGCCTCACCAGCCATAAACCTCACCGCGCGTCACTGCTGAGAAGTATTATGTCTCCATCATATTTGAAAACGTCAGTCACAGACTTGTGAGTCTGTCCCTTTAGTGAGCTGGCCTCAGTTAAGAGAACGTATCCTTGTTTCCTTGTTATTTCCATCGTTCCAATATCCCATAAAATTAAATTTCTGTCCATTTAAATGAAGGAGGATCTTGAATTTATTCAAAAAAGCAGGCTTATGTGGCCTGTGTATCAATTAAACACGCATGTACGACAGGATAGAGAGGCAACATCTGACTCTCTCACACACACTCTCTCTCACTCAGAATGGGAGGCCTTTAGCTCCAGGTCAATCTTCCATAATACCATGAATGCAACATACCTGCAAAAGTGTGATAAGTCTAATGAAAAATAATAATGACACATTGCTTACTTCCTCCACTTGAGGTTCTTGAGCCTGAGGAGCATTGGGCGCTGGTGAATCACAGTCTGGGCTGTAGTGCTCACAGTAATCATAGGCTGCTCTGGGATCACCAACAATCAGCATCTGCTGGATATCACCCTGCCAAAGAAACATAAGATTATAAATTAGCAACCATTGCAGGTCACGGGGTGTCACGAAAAGGAATCCTTCTTCTTCTCTACAAAGCAAGCTCCGGTTGAATGAGATGCACCTAATACAGGTTTAATTATTCTGCAGCACCTGTTAATTTATTTGAGTAATTTATGCTCTTGTCTGTTGTGGCTCCAGCACAGCTTGTTAATAGCTTTGTTACAAACAAATAAGGAGATTTATAGTGAGATGAAGTCATTTTGGGGCAAGAGCCAAACACTTTTAAACCCTTCCATACAAAGTGATTGCACGAATCAAACGGAGGCTGAAACTACCTTATTGTGATGTAATAGATGGAAACAATACTATTCATATACCGTGTTTCCCCCAAAATAAGACAGGCTCTTCTTTTCTTTTGACCCCCAAAATAAGGTCTTGGCCTTATTTTGGGGGAGGTCTTATTATTTTTGAGATGCATGAGGCAGCGAACATGGTCATCTCATGGCTGCTGCTGTGTTGCAATATTTTTATTGCTTATTTTTAGGGGAGGGTTTATTTTAGTGCATGCGCTCAAAAGCCCAATTGGGCTTATTATCTGGGGAGGTCTTATTTTTGGGAAAACAGGGTATTATCAGGCTATAATGACTCAATGGATACTTCTGATGGCTCCTTCCATAAAAATAAAAAAAATAAAAAAATAAACCAACCATCCAGAGTTTAAATAGTAATGACATAAAGTATATGAGAATTCAAGGCAATCTGGATGTCTGACATTTCATTTTTTTATGTAAACCCTTATGGGCTAACTTTAACTCCTTTAAGCTGTATCCACAGGAAGCCAGCTGGGTGACCTGGGGCCAGTCACTCTCTCTGAGCCCAACTCACCTTAAAGGGTTGTTGTTGTTGTTGGGGAAATAGAAGAAGGAAGGTGTGTGTATGTTTGACACTTTGAGCAATTTGTAAAAATAATAAAGATGGGATACAAATAAACAAACAAACTGCGGTTAAAGAATAAATCTTTGAGAAAGTCTATGCAATGACTATTTGTTGTCCAATATCTGTTGTGGCTCAGCAGGTGCCGTTGGAGCTGCTACCAGACTCCAACAGCGAGGGGTCTTATGAGTTGGCCCTGGAGGATGCGGAGGACCCTGGACAGGGTTCTGACTCTGAGCAGGGAGCAGAGAGACTAGTTGGTCCCTAGGTGATGACTGAGCCTTGGATCAATGGGGAGGAGACAAGAGAGAATGACACAGAAACCTACTGAGAGTTGTCTCGGGATGCACGCAGGCGAAGGGCTGCTCAGCATAAAGAACAATTGAGTACTTACAGGAGATGATTACGAGCAGCTGTTGCTCATTAAGATCCTCTCCTGATTATAAAAGGGACTGTTTGTGCCACGCCCTGGTGGCAGGAGTCAACGTTCTCGTTCGTCTTCACAAATCGAGAGAAACCAACTTGGATAAGTGGTTTGCTGTGAGAAGCCTGTCTGCAGTGCTGCGTGGGTTTATAGGACTTTTTGCCAGAGCGATTATCTGTTTGTTTATTTGGGGCTTGCAGCCAACAAGAGTCTGGACTGATTAAAACATTCTTTTGTACGTCTGTTTTGGCTTTCGTTCCTGGACGGAGAAGGGGGGGGTCAGAACAAATATCTATTTATTGTCTAAGGATCTGTGATCATTCAAAGAACTGCCAATACACTTCACATAAAGTCTGACTCACATTAGACCCACCAAAGGAGGGGGGAAATAGTGAAGTCCATTAACCTCTGCATAGGTTGTGCATAAATTCAAGTTAAATAATAAACTGAAACTAACATTTCATCTAATACAAATTATTGCAGGCCAGTCGAATTAAAACATAAATTGCATCTAGTCTCAGTAATGAATTTAACGACCTATTAGATCTCATCGATTAGGCCTCCTCCGACTTCCATCTGCCGGTCAATGCCGACTGGCAACCACGCGGAGGAGAGCCTTCTCGGTGGAAGCTCCGACCCTA